TCTGGGGTTGAGGGAAGACGAGGGGCTGGCCAGCCATATACTGGGATCCTTCTGGGATTGAGAAGGCGCGGTAGGGTGGAGTAGGTCAAATGGTCACACTACGAGGGTGCAAATAAGACGCACGGCCGTAGAAAGGCTGTTGTGGCATGGCGGGGAATGGAGGCGCGTAGGCTTGATGAGCTCTGTAGCCCTCTCCACCATCATCGTTATATGGGTCGTCGTCGTATGCTCTTCTGCGGCGGGTAGACCATCCGCCTTTTGAAAGGGATCGATCCTGGGAGTATTGCGGTCGTGAATGAAGGTTTCCGGACGGCCCGCGGCTGTTGGTATTGCCCATCAGGTTCTGTGGGGAACGTGCGAGGTGAGAGATGGGGAGGGGTGTCGCTCAGGAAATGAAAGGGCAGAGGGGTATCTGGGAGTGGCCAGCACGAGGATCGCTCATGGACGATCGCCTGGGTCCGAGGACGGGACCAAACGCGGGGCCACTTTGAATTCGTCCTTTCTCTCGCCTGCATCGACTCTCTCGCTCAATCCCAACCTCGAGGCCGCCACGTGGCACAAAGTCACGGGATCGCGACTCGGCGCTCCGGCGCCCTCGCGAGAAGGACTCGAGCCCTCGTCGCACTCGCGAGTGGGTTCATCGTTAAATTCGGTGGGCCAAATGTGGTAGAGCCGATATAGACCCTAATACTGCGGCTCCCTCCAGGACTCATCATTTATTTGGAAGGAATTAAACTCACATCCACCCATTCCACACTGGCAACAACTTCGACCATCGTATTCAGAGCGTTGTGGGCCTCGCTCGCATCCTGCAGCTGGACGTCGAAGGAAGCATGGGGCGGACACTGCGGGATCGGCAGCCCCATAGGGGATCGGAGGCAGGCCGGGCCAAACGTGAAGAAAACGGGCGAGGGATTACATTTATACCCCGGGCCAGTCGCGTAATTACATCATTTTGACAGGCCTTTTCGCTGCCAAGAGCAGCTACACTCGTGCGCCAGCTTATAATCACGCCTCGGAGTTGATCGTGTCGACACGATCGAGGCATTCGTTGGACGGGACGTCGTATTCTCTATCGGGCAGAGCACTTACCTGATTCGTGGGACGTCGGTCGACGACATGGCGCCTCCCGCTCTACGCCCGCGTCGAAGCACCCGTCGAATAGCAGAAACTGCATGCGGGCACGTCGGACAGAATCCTGCACGATCTCAGCCGCATGCTAAACCGTTCCGCGAAACATTCACACTTCTCGGAGACAGCATTGGATTCCATTGCGGAGGCCCGACTCTTCACCACATCAGCGGTCGTCCGATCTGGCTTCACATGGCTAGCATGTCAGCCTGCTCCAGTTAACCTCTTGCTATTTGACGGCAAAGCGTCACCATGTGAGCATACCCTGACAGTTGGTGACCAGTAGCTAGTCAGTAACTCAGAGACACGAATAGACCGGACATACCGACAAGAGAGAGAGCAGGAGAGAGAGAGCAGACGTGTCATGAGGCTCGTATAAGCGATGGCTGAGTTCAATACCCACCGTTCGCCATCCTACGGGAAGGGCCGGATCATAAAGGCGACGTCGAGCTCGAGACGTTCATGGTATATGATAGCTCGATAAGCCACAAGTCTCCTGTCCGCTCACAGGTATGCATGACAGTGGAGTTACGGTGCCCGCGGACGACGCTCAGCATCTCTAATGCGGGCATAATCACCTGTCCAGTGGACGCCCGCAGTGAAGGAGCTCGCGAGGAATGGTGCGCGAAAGAGCGCCGAGTGACATTTTGTGAGAGCATGACGACGGCGATGAACGAGACTGGCCAATGCTTCTAAGCGGGGTCGACGTCGACGGTGTACGTGATTGATCCTCGAACCTGTTGTCGTCAATAACGTCATAAAAAGCCGCCGCACAACCAGATATCATACCGCCAGGTTGACTATCCGGGCCGTTGAAGTCACTTACATGCGTTGCGGTCGTCTATACCGACTAGACCTCCGGAGTTGATCTCCTTGAAGCCATCACGCGCCATTCGGTGGTTCTGAAACTGCGGAATCAATGGGACGGTATTCCGAGCTACGTACCCAACCAATGATCTGGCACTCGTTCGTTGCACGGCCGAGCAGGGAGCGGGGGAGGACTGCTGCGGAGTTACGACAGAAGACGGAGAAGAGCGCTAGCGTTGTGGCGGAGGAGGACTGAAAGACGCGCTTCGGGGCCGGTGCTGGGAATGTTTCCGCAAAAGGCAAGTAGAGAGACAAGCGAGGTTCTATTTGTGTTGGGCGCCCGTGTGTGATCGCCACCATGATTTCGCCATGGCCGCTTGGATCCTTCTCGTCCACGAACACAGATGGATACACGAGTCCACCACAGCCCGGTGCTGCACATGTCCGTCCGATTTGGCCATGCTCTCGCGCTGTACCCCCAGAGCCTCCTCCGCCAGGGCAGCCTCGGAGCTCGACGCGTTACGGCGCACACGCAGCGGGTTCCTGGGATGGGAGACTCTGGGGAAGGTCTGTTCAGAACGGGAAGCACTCGCGAGGGCACATCTGCGGAGAACGCGAAGCCCCTTAAGTGCGCCCTGGGAGTGATAAGGACCCAGGACGCGCGAAAGGCGGATATCCGCCCGCTCGCCCTCCGGTGACGTCTCCCTCCCAACCGCCCTCTCCGCCTTCACCCCAGCGCGCGTCCGACCCGGCTCAGGCCCCAGCTGCGCCTCTGTCATTTATTCTTTCTCCCGTCACAGCGCCGCTCGTCGAGTATTAGGCTTATTCTGGGGCTCTTTCGGTCGCCCGTGCCTCCCCATACGTCACTCCACCCTTGCGAAAACATATATAATCCCCCGGCTCTGGCGACATGGGTTGCATCCCATCCAAATCCGCCTCCAAATCCTCCCCAGCTGCTGCACCCACGATGACGCTCCACAAGCTCGTGCGACCCGAGATCTACAAGGGCGGGAAGCGTCCGTCCTTCGCCGCCGCGTACGCCCGCGCCGCTCGCCGTTACGGCTTCGAGACAGGCCGCAACGCCGGCTTCGCGAAGCGCAACAACGTCGTGGTCAAGGTCAAGGGCAAGCACAACAAGGACACCGACCACGAGGTCCCCGCCGAGTCCATCCAGAACGGTAGGCCCTGCCTGTCGTATATGCTTCCGTCCCGCCGAGCGCTCACTGTGATGCGCCCGAACCCGTGTCCTCTCCAGAGTAAGTGCCCCTGTGGTGCCCAGTGGATGATGATGACGTCGGACGGACATATGCTAACATACTGCTTAGTCTCGAATACGTCGTTCCGGTCAAGATAGGTACTCCAGGCGTCGCGCTCAACCTCGACTTTGATACCGGCTCCTCTGACCTCTGGGTCTGGAGGTGTGTCATCCAACATGCCCTTGATGCAAGTAGGCTGCTGACGCTGATGATTTTTCCAGCTCCGAGCTCGCGCGTGCATCCCGGTACAAGGGCCACACCATCTACGACCCGTCCAAGTCCTCCACCGCCAAGAAGGCCTCCGGCAGCTGGAACATCAGCTACGGCGACGGCTCCTCCGCCTCGGGCAACGTTTACACGGACAACGTCACGGTCGCCGACATCACCATCCCGGGTCAGGCTGTCGAGCTCGCCGAGAAGCTCAGCGCCAGCTTCCTCCAGGACGGAGGCAACGACGGCCTCCTCGGCCTGGCCTGGCCTCAGATTAACACCGTCCAGCCCAAGGCGGTGGCCACCCCGGTCGAGAACCTGATCAGTAAGAAGTTGATCGACCCTGTGAGTGCGCTTAGATACCACCAGCTCCGGGGACGTCCACGAACGCAGGCTGAGCATGCCTCTTGCAGCCTGTGTTTACGGTCAAGCTCGGTCGCGGCGAAGAGGCCGGGTTCTACTCGTTTGGTAATTGTGTCCAGCAAGCTCAGCGTATCCCTTTCATGACGCCATAACTATCACGCAGGCTTCATTGACACCTCCGTGACGCCCAACCCGATCACGTACACCCCTGTGGACAAGTGCGCCCCTTCGTGCTTCGTGACATTTCGGCGGTCCTGAGGGCTCTGACATCATCCTCGCCCACAGCTCGCAGGGATTCTGGCAGGTCCAATCGGCCAGCTGGTCGCTGAATGGGGATACGAAGGAACGCTCCGGCAACACCACCATCCTCGACACCGGTACCACCCTCCTGCTCGTTTCGGACGAGGTCGTCGACGCCTTCTATGGTCAGTTTTATGTCAGACAACCTCCGCGAGGGAGGCATTCAAGCTAATCACCGTCGCCAGGCGCTATCGACGGCGCCGTCTTTGACGACCAGCAGGGCGGATACAAGTTCCCCACGAACGCCACCATCCCCGACATCTCCTTCGCCGTCGGAGACACGCTCTACAAGGTCGGTCCCGCGAGCTCTCCATGATCCTCCGAACCCCTCCCCCCTTGGTGACCACCATCCAAACTCTGACCCGCACGCGCAGGTGAACGCCAAGGACATCGCGTTCGGCGACGCGGGCGACGGCTTCACCTTTGGCGGCATCCAGAGCCGCGGCGACATGGACTTCGACATCTTCGGCGACGTCTTCCTCAAGTCGGTCTACGTCGTCTGTGAGTCTCGAAATCGATCCGTGCCTCTCCGTTCCCGCGGCCGCTGACTCGGACATCCCGCCCCGCGCGTTCAGTCAACCAGGGCGAGAAGACCGTCGGCCTCGCGCAGCGCGATGATTGAATGGACACGGTATGACGGCCCGTGGGCCGATGAGTAGCTCTGTACGATCGACTCGAGCGATGTGTTTTACGCTTTGGAAGGGACTGTATACCACGGCTGTCGGCTGGACTGGATGTAATACACACGAGTATTTTAAACGAACGTCATACATGTCTATGCACGCGTTTTCTTTCTCGCAACAACGCCCGGGTAGTAGTGGCAAACGCGACTATGTCTGAAAACTAGCTCGGGTCCCTTCAAGCGGTTTTCAGACGATATTACTAGTTTGCAGGGGATGTGCGATGTGCGATGCCGGTGGCGCAAAAAGACTTCTCCCTGGCGGGGAGTCGAACCCCGCTTTCGCGCGGTCTAAACCGGTCTGTACAACCCAGAAGTGACAGGCGCGTGTACTAACCGATATACTACCAGGGATTGGTACGGATTCGAGTGGTAGCAATTATGGAGTGGCATCGCAACAGCTCTCTTTGACTCTTTGAGTTCGAGTGTCAACATCGTTAACAGTTGAATGCCTCTCTTGCCATCAGACTTCAAGGCACTGTGCGGCCCGTACGCGAACGCCGAACCGTGGTCCTCGCGACAGTCATCGGGGTCTACCTCGCGCTTCGGTAAATGCATCGAGGGGAGGAAATTATACGGCCGTATGGCGGCGACTGTTTACTGGAAGGTATAGTACTGCTTAAGTGTCTCCCCCCTCCGTAACTCACATTCATCGTCTGCCTAGGGGAGACAAAGTACTGCTGTGTTATTTCAGCCGTTGTCGCACAGAATGATGACTCGTTCACGATCGCTCTCATGACGTCGACTGTGACATACACCGTCTCTCAAACACGTAGAATTCGGCTTTTAGGCGTCTGTGGGCGGTGAATATATTGCAGCACTCGCCCTTGGTCTCCTCAAGATGTATATATGTGCACGGGCGCAAGGTTGCTCACCATGCGTGACATGCATATGCAACCAGCCTTCGAACCGCCTTGAGCCCCGCGGCACACCTGCCCATAGTACAAGTATCGGAGAAGATAACTGGTGTCTCCAGGGCACTCCATCGAAGACAGATCCAAGATAAAAATCCCATGACGTTTATCGATCGTTACTGAAGGAGCTACCGATACAAATGAGAGGGTAGAAAACAGCGGAGAGCCTCAACGCGGGCGTCGAGTTCGAGATCAAATTTTGCTGTGCTCTACGTGCAGCGCGCTCTCTTTGTCGCTCGCGTTGTCCGCGATCGGTGCTCTGTTCTCCTGCACCTCCTCTTCGATTCGCTTCTGCTGTTCCTCGCGGAGCTTCTCGCCCTCGAACACTACCAACGGAAGTCAGCCATAACGCCCCCTAGGCCAGCATGCGCCAGGAGGGAAGCGACACTCACGAAACGCAAGCTCCTCGAGGGTGCGGTTCGAGGTCTCGGGGAAGAGGAACCACACGAAGACGAGTTCGAACAGGAGGAAGATGCAGTACGAGATGTAGTACTTCCAGCCCGCGTTCGCGATGCCGATCGGGTTGACGAACTGATTGAAGAAGCCTGCCGCGCGGCCCCACCACTGGAAGACGGCGATGCCCTTTGCGCGCGCGTGGTAGGGGAAGATCTCCACGAGGTAGGCTGGCGAAAGCAGCGCGGTGAGTCGTTGGCACATCTTCTATAAACCACAAGAAGCGTACTGTAAGTGAGGGCGTTGTAGCCCATGTTGTACGCCGGGCTGTAGAGGAAAATAAAGCTGAAACCCGGGAGATCACGTCAACTATGCAATGACAATATGTTAAAAGGAGCTTGTACGCACGCAATCACAGCACGCGACGCCGCTTGGCTCCCCGTAATCGCATACTGTGCGCTCGCAACAGTCCATCCGGTGAAGATGAGCGTAAGGGCGACGGTACACGTGAGGTACGCGGAGCGGCGGCGGATCTTCGGGACGGTGAGCGCGAGCGTCGTGCCGTTGACGAAGCCCCAGCACGTCATCGCGAGGTTGATGAGGTTCTTCGTGCGGTCGTCGTGTATGCCGACGTTGTCGAGGATGCGCGCGAGGAAGTACGACGTGAGGCCGTTCCCGGACCACTGTGTCGCGAGTCCGAGGAACGAGCAGATGAGCAACCGCTTGCGCATGGCGGGGGCGGATACGAGCTGCTTCCAGCTGCCCTTGGCTTGCTCCTTCTCAAGCTCGAGTGTCGTCTCGATTTCGGCGTACTCGAGCTTTACGAATTCCGAGTTTAGATCACCTTCAGCGTGGTATTTGGCGAGGATGGCGTATGCCTCTTCGCCGCGGCCCTTTGAAACTAGCCACCTGTGGTACACGTGAGAAGACCGGTCGAATACTGCTGTGTCGTGACAAAGCATACCTAGGGGATTCGGGGAGGAACCAGATGAACGTAATTTGTAGCGCGCTCGGGATGACCTGGAGGAGCGATGGGATGCGCCAACCCCAGTTATTTGGCATCTGGAAGGTACCGAGAGTTACACCTGCGGCAACAATAGCCCCTGCGTATGCGCCATAAGTTTGTGGGCAGATATTCTACGATCAAAGTACGTGTAATACTCACCGATAAACCATGATGCGTTGAAGAGAGATCCGATGCGAGCGCGTTCCTTCGGGTAGGCAAGTTCACCGATCATGGACGATGCCGCAACGATAGCGAATGGGATACCGAATCCAAGCAGGAATCGCGCGACGACAAACATCGCGACTATGGAAGAATTAAGCATACGCACTTTGATCCTCCCTAAAAATCCACGTACAGTCCTGAGAAGATGTCTGCAGGGCAGCACCGATAACCATAATAATACTGCCGAAAATGATTGCCCATCTTCTCCCGAAGCGATCCGTTACAAAGGGCACAAAGGGGAGGGAGCATATTGAACCTAGGGAGTAGAGCGCTGAGAGGAGGCCGAGGATCGTGGATCGTGGGTGGTTAAAGACTGTTTGCTTCATTAATATAATCGTGCTACGCTGCAGCGGACATTGTGAAGCTCTCACAGGCATCCCAGGTAGGTACGGCCTGTAAGCCGTTCATCATTGACGAATCGAACCTGATACGTGGGCAGAGATTAACCTTCAGATACAAACCAATGAACTACAAACAATACGTACCCACTTGTCATCTCGATGCCGATACATGTCGGGAACATGAGAATGTACAGCATGCGTAGATTGCGCTTCTTGTACCATGGAACTTTATCTTGTTGAACATACCGATTGATGGGGTTGTCGTTTCTCGAACCATGATCAGAGCCTAGGGCCATCTTGTCTCAAGGAAAGGCTGGTAAGAGATGTGGGGATGTTAAGGATCCCAAATGCAAGAGTTCCGTCGTGCTCTATCCATGGACACGGCATATATATCTTCGCGACCCGTGGCATGCTCACGGGTATCGGTCAGGCACGTCCTGCAACTTTGAATTGAGTATATCCGTAGCGCCACACCTCGAGGACAGCACCACTCACGGTACGCATTCTCGACGCTATCTCGTACGGTGATCCAGGGAAACTCCGGAGAAACTTCATGACGCTCGTTCTGACTTACGTGGTTGGAAGGAAGTTGGAGCCACACTCTGCAGGAGGGCCAACCCATTGCATTTGCACCGGTGGTGGGAGCTTACGATAAACCCCGCCAGCGTGTGCTAATCTTGGCACCGTTGCAGAAGCCCCTCGGAGGCCCGTAGAAGAGAAGCGTCGAGTAGTGCGCGTTTCGCGAGATCGTCTCCGGAGTCATGGGTGTGGGTCCGGAGAAAAATCGGTACAAGGCTGTGTTAGCAGGACTCCCAGGGTGCTTCTTGGCGTAGGGAATATGAGCGTTGAATCGCCGCAACCTGTGGTTGAGAACGTGCAAATCCGAACATGTGCCTTGATGAAGTTATCTCCGAGCTCACATCTCGTAACCGTAGGGCACGTCAAGTCTATCACGACTCCGCGCTTCGCAAGGCACAGGAGCATTGGGCTGTAATGGCGGTTCGCGAGAGCTCTGAGGGGACGGGACAAAATAGGTAAACTATAGGCTGGCACCAAGAGGATGGGCCCAATGCGAAAAAAGCAGCTTCAACGGATCCGAAAGTAGTTCAGTTCCATTCTGGAATGCATATGAACTGTGACATCAGTGCACAAACCCTGATGATCGGCATGCGCGAGGCAAAAAAAGCATTGCATAGGGTCCGCTCACCAACTGTATTAGCTTGACGATTGGCACGTCACGAGTGTACACCTAGACATCCTGGCGGCAAGTCGGGCATTCGGATAGCTGTTCTCGCCACAAAAGAATTTGGAAAATCTAGCTTTGTGAGCGACAGCCATGATGTTTCTCAGCACAATGTGAATACAAACCGCTCATCACCGTCGTAATGACGTAGTACCCTCCTCGTCCGTTCAAGTCCTGTTAAGCATCGTTGCTCCTTGCAGCGCGGGTAAAGCACGTCTTCTGATTTTTAACTTCCCTCATACATACAGTCTTTTTCCCGCAGCATGCGACGTAAAAAAGAGGTGTGTGCAGTTAATGTCGGGGGAACATGGGAGTCTGGAAGGAAGCAAACAGCAACTGCCAAATCCGGCGACGCGTCTCGATTACACGAGCGCCTACGCGCCGCCGGACTCTAACCGACGCCACAACGCCTCCGCCACCCGCTTGCTAAGCTCTCTCTTCTTCATCCTCCGTGTTCCGTCTGGTCCGTCTTCGGTCTTCCTCATCTCGTCTATATCCATACCTACACACTCAACATGCTGATCAAGGTTAAGGTGAGTACGACATTTTCTGAAGTTTTGCGCAAATATGTGGCCGTGCCACTCAACATATCTCGAAATTCCACAGACCCTTACTGGCAAGGAGGTACGCAGATCTTCTTCGTGACCATCAATCTGGGGCGGAAGGACTGAGAATTCAAGCTAATATTTCCGTGGACTGCGTAGATCGAGCTTGATATCGACCCTGAGGATCCCGTGAGTGCCACTTCGCTCTACCCTATGCACAGCACCTCATGTAAACTGTCCCGCCGGCTCTTTTACTGCCACAGGTATCCCGTATCAAGGAGAAGGTTGAAGAGCAGTCCGGTGTTCCCCCACCGCAGCAGCGGTTGATCTTCGCCGGCAGGCAAATGTCCGTGCGCCCTCCGCTTGTCCTATATGCTCCTACAGACAACTCATCGATGGACCGGCGGGCAGGGCGGACGATAAGCTCGTCAAGGAGTTCAACATCGCAGCAGGAGCCGTTCTCCACTTGGTCCTTGCCCTTCGTGGTGGTGCCTGTTAGAGGTATGGCCCATAAAAGCGTCTACTGACCGATGGTCCTAATGACTTACAAAAACTTGTCTCATCAGGTTCCCCGTACATCGTCCTACGTGATTGCATAATGATGGATCGACCGAAGATGAAATGTTGTACTCTTCGCAGTGCGTTATATTCATGTTAGAGAACCCTAGTCCGCAACTTGCTTTCTTTCGC